ATATATATATATATATATATATATATATATATATATATATATATATAACTTGGCAACTAGCTAACCAATAGGAAAACATAATTATATACTTAACTACTCAAAAATCTCATCTATTTAGGCTATGACAAAAACAGTTTCAAAAAGGAGGACAAGGGATATTTCCATGAACATTACGCATTTTAAGCAACTCCAAATATTAATCTCAATACCTTAATTTCAGCTCCTTGATGCCTAAATCTAACAACAAACCAGTAAACCAGACTGAAAGATCAAACTTAATTATTGGACATGGGACAACAACAAATTCGACTGAAAATCGAGTCGTTTAGGCCCGTTTTTCCGGCAATTAACACCTCTTTTGGCAATAAGACAATGACAACTATAATTACCAATGATACACAATTTTTTAGGACTAAAATCAAGAGGGAAATAACATAATTTTGGAGTTTTAATGGTGACTTAAGCAAACCCTATGCTACTGCCATTATTATCGACCAAACCGATGTCTTTCAGCCACCGAAACGACTACAATTCTCCCCAAACAAACCCAAAATTCACAACCCAGTTACTAGTTACATAAATTCGAGACTGGGACAGAACTTACCTCTAATCGACGGGAAATTGACGAGCCCCCACTTCAAACTATTGCTCCTTTTCTCTCCCGCCTTTCAACCGTTTTTCTTTCTTTAGCTTCTTGAGGTTTCTCTAGGATTGGGAAATAAAGAAAAGAAAATAGTTTGAGTTTGGACGTCGGTAGGAAATGAGATAAAAGGGAGGATTCAACCCTATCAACTCAAATTTACACATGGGTTTAGCAAGGTTAAATCCTCAAACTTAAGTTTTTTACAAAATTAACCCAACTCAATATACACCTGATGAAATTATTTAGCACATTTTTTAGACTTGCTCCGATATATATATATATATATATATATATATATATACCAGACATGTATTAAAGTGTATCACATGGTTATCACAGTTAACACATCGATTAGGTCTTGACGATTTAATGTGTATCACATGGTTATCACAGTTAACACATAGATTAGGGCTCAACGATTTAATGTGTATCACAACAAGACTAAATATTGAATGGTTATCACAATTAATACACTTCGATTAGGTATTTATTGGTTTTGAATCACATTATTATCACGAAATAGGTATCTATTGATGTTTTTTTATTAGTAAACGATCGAGACTAGATTCTGATCGATAATTATGGGGTAATTACAATTAATTAAAACAACATTAAAATTATATAAAGAAATAAACAATTATATTACTGCCCTTAATGATTTGTTCTTATTTATTAGGATTTAAATTATTGGTTAATAAAGTTGGAGATCCAAACTGTTCTCCATACTGTTCTCTTGTTTTCATGAAACGAGGGTTTTCGTTTGAACTTCCGTGATCACAAGAAGATTTTTATTCTTCTTTGAATTTGAACCTGAGACCTTCTGGTACTTTTGACTTATCTCTCTTTTATTTCATTTTTTCATTTTGGAGAAAATTCTGGAGAATTTGTTGTAGCAACAAAAATAGCACGAAAAACCAAAAATCTCCATTTCCTTCCTTTTGAAGAATATTTTATTTACCATTTTTTTTTCTTTTTTTTTAAGAAAGACAAAACAACCCTTGAATCTTAATAATCAATTTCGACGCATAATTTTAGAGGGTTTTTAAATGTATGTTTTCATAGTTAGCATTGTCTTTTTCAAAAACAAGGGGATGTTTCTACGTTTTTTTATCCACTAAGAGGCTGTTTACTTGCGTTAATTAGGTTTATTGGTCTATCTGATTTATTCGACAGCTCATTTGGGTTGTTTACTTACAGTAGTTTATTCGCACAAAACATGACTTAATCGTACAGATAGAAATGGTGTGGTGTCCACATTCAGCCACAAAAATGATACATCTACCCCTTATTTAAAGCACCGTCTTCTTCCTATATGAGACATCCCATCATCGGCCTCTTTTATGATTTTTTGTTTTAATGTCCAAATAATTAATATTGGGGGGTAAATCGGTCATTTATGT